CAATATCGACAAACAGCCTGTTCTTATAGTACACGGGAACTGTGTGGTGTGTATCTACTTTTACCCAAGGGAGCTAGCGGTCAGTGTGGTGAGCTGTTAACGGTGCAAAGTGCCTCATTGTAACTCTGTTTCAGCCACTAGTTCCTACTTGCCACTAGTCTGCGGACATTGATTGCTTGCTTGTTCAGTCTTAAAAACGCTCTGGTCCGTTGTGGATCCCACTGCGAAACGGTAACCCGCACAGAGACTGACTAGCGGGGGGGGGGGGGATGTGCTAACGAAGAGACACAAGTTCGCAGTTTCCTGCTGCTGCTGTTGTTGCAGTGTTACAGTCTCCAGCTGTCGCCTTCTCTTTCTCTCTTCTTAACTACCCTGTTCAACGACATCCATATGTAGCAGCAACAGCAGCACTGATTCTGCTGCTGTAGGCTGTGATGCGTCGTCACCGACGACGATAGCAACAGCTCAGTGTAGAAAGAAATAAACGCTCAACGAAGAAGAGTGTCAAAAGGCAGGACAGTGCTGCCTCCCGGTTGTATCGTCAGCGTTGCTCTCTCACGCGGCACAAACCACAACTGACTACAGGTGGTGCGTTCTGCGCTGAAGAACTATCAGTTTTGAGTAGGTATTGATGGTAAACAAAAATGTACACACTACCTACAACAACGTGTCAAATATCGATGAGCAAAGTCCGTAGACTCTCTTTTGAACTAGTCATGTGTGTCCCGCATTCGGCTCAGCTTAGAGATTAGCGGTTATATAATGTAGTGGTGGCTGTAGTCGTAGACCAGTCTCGATCCAGGTGAAACTGTGTTTATAGTCGCTCGGGATACTTATCTAGCGCATGCGTGTCTGACAACCAGAACTTATTGCATCTAATCTTCTTGGCAGACTCTGTGATTGAATCCTTCTTCAACAGAAATACTTTTCCGCGTACGTTGTCCATAACGTAATATTTTTCGTTGGCGTAGGCCATGTCTGACTATTGCAGTTAGTATTTGTGCGTCTATGCCCTGCTTGTCGCGGTATTTTCGCTGCCCCGAATCCAGTGTCGTCGTCGTCGTCGTCGTCGTCGTCGTGCTCGTGCGGCTTCTGTTGATAGAACTGTGTCGTTAGTGGTGCACTTGTCGCGGGCGGCCGCCGTTAGAGGCAACGTCGTTGCGATCGCGGGGACTGTGGCTAGTCGAATGTCCACGATAACTGCGCCCCACATACACGCACACATCGCGGACGCAGGATAGCGATTGGGGCAGTAGAAAAGCAGCGCTACAGCCACTAATATTGCTAATACTGTTGCTGATGTCGGTGGCAGCTCTCGCCGTCCTTTTCGTAGTCGTCGTCGTGGTGGTGTCACCAACGGCAAGGCGGGAAACAAGCAGGCTGTCAGCTTTAGAGTTATAACACTATTATTATTGTTATAGTCTGCAGTGCTATAGACCAACAGAACGAGCCCGGACCGGTTTAGTGAGCGACAAGCGGACTGTCGTTTCTCCGTAGTGACGGTGCACTATACGTAAAGCGTCTGTCTATATGAGGGAGTGTCGCTTAAACTGCTCGTCACTCGCCAGCCGTTCAAGCAACAAAGCGTTGGCCAACGGCAGCAAAAATACAGAAACAGAACGCTAAGCATTAATACTGTGCCTTTGTTTTACTGCTATTAGCTATACTGCTGATATTTCGACTATTACTGGTCAGCGGCAGTGGACAAGGCTGGAGAAGCACCAGCAGCCGTAGACATTGTGGCTATGTAGTCGCCGTTCGCTGGACATCTCTGACTAAAGTTACTCGCCGTTAGAAGAAATCGCCTAAAGGCTTCGCTCATTGACGACGAACGAGTGTTGCCGATGCTGTATTTGTTCGTGGACGGCAATAGGACTCAACAAGTGTTTGCCGGAGCATCGAAGACAGGTTGCGCATACAGCCGCTGCGACAGTTCTACCGAACCCGTTTTGTCTGCGTCGTCGTGAAACGCCTCGTTGTCGTCTTTTTTTCTTAATCTTTAAGTGCCACACACCTTGCAACCCCTTTCCCCCCGGGGTGCGCACAGACAGATTGTTCACTGGTCAGTACTGCTGCCACCATCATTATTTATTAGTGTTACAGTAACGACAACGACAACACCTGCTCGCCCTCGGTGTCTGTAAATAACTGCGTGTTCTCTCTAAGTGAGCGAATGGTTCGAGAAGAGCGGTTTAGCGGAATGAACACATTGTCGCAGTGAAACACTAAGCAGCCAGTCGATAGACAGTCAGAGCCAGCGAAACGGCCACAGCAGAGGGGCTGGCCAGCCGTAGTACGGCCACTGACTGACTGAAGCACTTGGAAAGACGTAGCCGTCGCAAGGCAATAGTTCAGCCTGGGCCCAAGGTAACTAGATGTGTGCGTGCCCGAAAGTGCAGAGTAAGCTTGCTCGTGTACCGCTCCGTCTGCCGTAACCGACCGTGAGCCCACACTCCCATTACCCAGATGGATGGTGATCGTGTCCAATAGTGGGCGCTATCGTGTCGATTCCATGTAACGACGACATCGCCAGTCGTTGTGGACTTTTCTTCTAGCCGATTGGTGCAGACTTGTGCTATCAAAAATAGAGTCGTGCGAGATTCGACGACTTTCTAAAAGTTCAGTAGCAGCATAACAAGTAGCATCACCGTGGACGTCAACAGCATCGTGTGCGTGTGTATAAGTGATAACTGGAGGCGATGCAGTTGCCCAGGTGACACTGGTTCAAACGGTTTGTCGAGGAAGTGTTGATCAACAAGTAAGTATCGCACTATTACCAAGACCACCTGCTTCGATTCTACGGAGTTGTACAGATCCTCTGCAAATGCACGATGAGTGACCAAACGCTCACTTCATACGTGTGTTTCGCTATCACCGCGACTCTGTGCTGCCGGCACCATATTGGGCTCTAGTGCAGTTGTTGTGCTGCTGTTGCTGTTTTCGTTCTACTATTTGCCCTCCTACTAATAGTACGACCACTTCAAGATGTCTGAGTTCTTTCTTAAGTTATGTGCGTGTGCGTGTTCTAGGGCGATTGTAAGATGATTGAATCGTGCCGCTATATTAACAACAACAGTTAGCTAGGAACTGAGGCGCTTCAAAACAACAGGTGGCGGTGATTACCAGTAGGTATATATGTGTGTTTACTGTTGTCAACAGATGCTGTTGTACGCACGCTCGCTGCTGCCGTTCCTGTTGTTGTTGAGTCCAACTGGTCGTCGATCATGGTTCCCTCGGGGCCTGTTTACCTGGCCCGGTGACGCTGACTCTAATTCGGCCCACAGCAGGCAGTAGCCGGTCTGCCGCAATGGCATGCTGCCTCCCGCTGAATAGCAAACGCGCATTGTGGCCTATTCTCCTCCTCAACATGGCGGCGGCAATCGTGGGGAAGCTGGCGAGCCACTCTGCGACCGACTGCTGTTACCAGCAGCAGCAGCAACGGCAAGCAAGCTACAAACAAACCGTCGGTGCGCTGCAGCTCTTCGTCCCGGTAGTCCATTCTCTCAGTACTAAGAGTGGCTGTAGTCGCAGTCGTAGGCTCATCACAGTAATCCATAGTATTCAATGTTGCTCCACAGTTTGACCATGGTCATGCGGTAATATATAGTGTACTAGTATTATTTGTATCATATCAGTATATGCTACTTTGCTAAAATTCCTCCTGCACAACATTTATAGAATTACGTGAGGGGCTGTCTGTGGGTCATCCTTCCTCTTTGTATCACCCCAGCGTGCGTAGTGCCACAAGTGAGCTCATGCCAGCCAGTCTTAATGTTGCCGATCACACAATACTTGCTACTAAATAGCATTAACAAGCATCCCGAGTTTAACTATTCCGTTATCTTGTACGCCGTACATGGGGGGGGGGGAGGGGAGGGTTTAGCATTTCGGCCCCTCGTGCAGATCATTCTCAGTAACTGCGTGTGCCTGAGGCACCCAGTATACTGCGTTCGCTGACGTTTTTTAATAGCTTATTTCTACTGGACGCATGTATCGCATTTTTCTCCCTGACGAAGGTACTATTTGTCTTTTTCTGTTCGATCATTGAAGGTATCTCGTGGAAAACAAACGTACGTCCTTCGTAACATCGGTCTCCAATGGGTTTGTGTGTTGTCCGCTGCTACGATGAGTAAACAAACGACGATGGCTGACTCTGTGTGATATAATGAGAATTCGATTTGAAATTTTCGACGTTTGCCTCTCTTCCTGTCTGTCTCTGTCTGATTTTTTTTTGTCTGTCTCCGCGCACTTCAATATTGTGGACTACAGTTCGTCGGCTAGAAAGAACAACATCCATGCAGGAAAAGCCAAAAGTGTCTTCGGCTAGTGATAGACTAAGTAGTCATTGGTCGGATGCTCCTCTCTGTACCGCGCAGTTTTTTTTATCGCATGAGACGACAGTGGTGGTGCCGATGACGGCAGCGATGATGGCGGGTTAGCTTCGTGACTCCACTGACTCCGTTAGATTTCATTGTATTATGTTCCATCAACCGTAAAATGTATTACTGTAAATGTATTTTATTTATCGGTATGCCTTCTAGTTTGTTGAAATTAGTAGAAAATGTTTACTCTGCCAGTCAAACTTAGCTTATTCGATCGCTTTCAGTTCCAGTGTATCCAGTGTAAAGAATGTGAGGAGTCCAGGCTGTCAATACTGTTGCACGTAAGTTTTCAATCGGTGTTAATGCAGTAGCGGAAAACGATTGGGAGGAACTAGAGAAGAAAGTACTGAGTCGACTTTGGCCAATCGTTCTCAGCTCTTCTGTTGACTGACGGACCGCCCGTTGATCGTAGAGTGAGCTTGCGAACTGCTAGCTCTTCTGCAATAGCCTTCGGATGCGCCTCGAACTTGCAGCCGTCTCATGACAAGAACAAGAATCGTGTGAGAAGAAATATGATGTTATAATACAAATATATGTATACATATATGTTACAGATGGCCGAACACATAGTGTAGGAGCGGGCGGGGGGGGGGGGGGGTAAACCGTGAGGAAAACGAAATCGCAGAACATATCGGTTACGGTTGACAAACAGGTTGCCTAGTTAGGCACAGAAGTGTTGAATGCACAAGCTAGCAATGAACGCTCATTAGAAGAAATCGTCACATCGGTTTTCATTGTACCTTTATCGGTTTATATTATAGCTTTATCGTGCATATTTAACGAATTCTTTCGAACTGTCTTCGTGGAAACGTTTTCCCATTGTATAAGCGGTGTGTCAAACTGTAATATCTAAAATAGAAGCTATTTATATATATAAACTCTTTACTGAGCTCGTTACCTGCTAAGAACCGCTAAACATACAAAAGTACGCACACATCCTACCCTGGGGCATTACCACCGCGGCAGGCCATCAATTTAGGCAACTTTATACGTAACTTTTATAATCAGTACAAAATATGCAGTCAATAGCAATCGTAAAATATAACCGTGGTCTTGGCATAGTTTGTTAACCAGCTTGACTGAATTTTCTATGTGCGTTCGGTCCTCTAAGCGATCTCAGATCACATATCCCCTGCGGCGGAGAGTTGCGTGACGTCAGCGAACACGGTGGGCTACAGGTTAATGTTTCGAGCAGAATTAAAGAAAGATTTTTGACCGTAGCTCTTTGTGCCATGACAATAGCTTAGGTTAAATTACCTAATAGTACAATACTAGCACACCAGTTCCGCTGTTTATGGAAAACCACATCTCGTGCGTGTACTTTCAAAGAACTAATGCACTCAGAATAAAATGCTCATATTCTTTAAAGCTTTTTAATTAACTTATAGGGATTCAGTCTTTTCTTTTTCCAGTTTCTTTTTTCTCATTGTGTTTTCCTTCAGTATATCCTTAGTTCTGGTATACTTTGAAATATTACATATAAATACAGGCGGATTATTTGTGTCCTGTGACGACAATGTTTACAATAATTTTATATTGTGGGGGCCACATGTTATCATTAGCAAAGGTGCCAAATTCGAAACCTGCAGCAGTTCCTAAGCCAGAGTTCATTTGTCACACCCTTAACCTTTTATCATATCAGAATCTCAGAAAAGCGCATACATTTATACTTTTCATGGCCTAATCAGTGTGTCTTGCTCGGCTGCTTCAACATGTTCCTCGCGCCATTTTCCACTGTTGGAGCCATTCACTCTTGTCAGAGGAGCAGCCCTGGCATCTGGATCTGTGAGGATCCCTTTGTCTCAGCTAGAATGAGCAGGACATATTTCTCCATTGAGGTTCTGATTTGTCAGGACTCGCTGTCTCAACCAGTCAATGGCACTGAAAGGACAAGGCAATCGTCGACCATTATCAGCTTCGCAATATCGGCTTAGCAGCTCGTTTGTGCAAACAAGTAAACCTGCACTGCTAATATGGAAATTTCGCATCGACGCAAAGGTTGATCTCTTCTTACGGTCGCTGTAACGACGAGGCAGAGAACTCGCATTGGGGGGTGCCTGTTCCCTTCCAGAGCCTGGCGTGTTCTGGTCTATCTCAACCTCTTCAGACGGCCAACAGGCAGGAGCCCACGATAGTGGCGTAGAGCCGCTTCTCTGCTACTGCGCTGATGCGCGCTCAGTGCAATAAGAACGACTAGCGACAGCACCGCCACCTAGCGGTAGCCGCGTACCAGCAGCACCCGTCGTCCGCTCGCGCTCGGAACTAAGCGGCAGAGGAAGCCGCTGCAAGGGAGCCAATCGCATGGGGCGCCATCTGACGATCAGCGAACAAATGAGTTCGTAGCCATTGCTGCATCTTCTCTGTCTGTCTGTCTGCTATCGAACTGTTCGCCGCGGATGTCACTGCGGCTGCTGCTGTTGCTACTGCAGCGGGTAGAGCAGTGGTACATCGAGCAGAAGCCTTGTGCACTGTGTGTGTGTTGCGTGAACGTTGCAGTGGTCTGGAGCAGCTCTGCTGCTGCCACCAATTTCTAACAGCATTGGTCACCAGCAGTCGTAGTAAAAGCGATAGTGGCGGCGCCTTGAACGCGCTGCTTCCTGGCTGACTGCCACCTTGGCGCGTTCAGGCAGAGGGAGCTCTGGATGCCGCGCCGCAGCAGCCGCTGCTGCTGTCGGTGGTTCAACTGTTTGTTGTGCAGCACTAGCTCGGGCAGACGGGACCGACTAGTGGTAGCAGTAGTGAGTGGTGGTGGTGTCGTCGTGATGGTGGTGGTAGTGGTGATCGCAGCAGCCGTAGCTGTGCTGCGTTGTATTAGAGGGGAATAGCTGCAAAAGACGGCTGCGGCGGTGGCAGTAACAGCTGCGGCAACGGCAAGCGTTGACGATTGTCGCGACACGGCCGAAACTCTTAATCTGGCTGCCAGCGGCACGGTGCTGTTATACACTCACAATGAGTCGGAGCTGTTTGTAACAAAGTCGACTGCGGCCACCGTGAATGCTACGAGCAGTCAGGGGCCGGCTTCTAGCCGTGCGTGTTTCATCGCTGTTTCTCCGCTCGTCCACGACGATAGCTGCTGCTACTACTACTACTACTACTACAACAAGTAACTAGTCGCTAACTGGTTTTTCTTTGTTTGGTGTGCACGTCTATCCATCTCGGTGGTTTGTGTGTCTCTCAGTGCGGCAGTGGATGTAGAAAAGCAAGTTGACGGGAACTTGTACCGCTCACAGCAGCGGCAGCAGCAGCAGCAGCAGCAGCAGCAGCAGCAGCAGTAGCAACTTGTTGGAGACCGGACCCTGTTTTAACTGGTCGTCCCGGCAGAGACTGGGAGAAAACGAGCGAGACTATCGCCCACGGATCAACATCACGACCGCAACCTTCGTCGCGGCGATTGAATATATAATACATCGACATCACGGGAGTGTTGTGGATGATGCTGTAACGCCGTTGTCCTATACAGCGCTTTACTGTTCACTCCGTGGAGACGGTTCGCGATAGGCACTTTAAAGTGTGTGATGTGCAATTGCTAGTTACAACACCCGATGGGGTCCCTACGGTGTAGCGGAGGCGGATAGGCGAAGGGTGAATTGCATAGGACTCGTGAATAGTCTGAATAAAAGAGACAGGTAAGGAGAGGCCGTACAGGGCAACTTCGAAAACATCAACAGCCCACATCAGTTGTCCAGCCGACTACTGACGTAGTCGTGGATTTTGTCGTCGTCGTCGTCATCGTCGGTGCAGTTGTTACGGTGATGCATCTGTAGGTAGAATTAAGTGGAGCACCGCATAGCGCAGAGCAATGCAGTCGGTCGATCGATGGCGCGTCGGAGTGCCTGTTGATATTGTTTCTGTGTTCCTAGTGAGGTAAATATGTTGCCACGGTCTGCTTTCGTCTTTCCATCTTCAACGGGTCTGTGCTTTGGCCAAGCGAGTACGTGTAATAGTACCAAAGTGTTACCCTACACACGGAGCGTGTTAGGCTGCTTGAAGAAACCCTTGGAAAGTTATGACTGAAGTTAGTTGCACATATTCCGTAAACTGTACTACGTGTGATAGATGTGAATCAGTGTGTGTAGCAACATGGCGGTTGTCTGCCGTGGCTAATAGTGTCTCCAGTTGACACGGGCTGGTTACGACATAGACCCGTTTTCGCCGTGGCCAGTCGACAATTTAATTACGCCTGCTACTATCGAACCCAGCAGCAGCAGTAGCAGTAGTGATGGTAAAAGTATTAAGTCTGAAGAAATGTTCAATTAAGGCAGTACCGGACTTGTAATACAAAACATTCATTTCGAAGCTGTGTTAAAAGCGTCGAGTGCGACAATGATAATGATCTCTACTTATGAGTGCATTTGAATAAAGTAGATAGTGTTGTAGGATATCTAAGTGGCCCACCGAGCCAAAATTATGGGACAGCCCGAAGCATCTTCGATATAAATATATAGTAGATCTATAGGTCATATCTGGGTGATGATCTCTGTGCCGGTGGGACTCGCGGAGTGCTTTGAATCCACAATACTAGCATAATCATGTATATTCAATGAGTTATACAGTCATTGTGTTACAGTTATTGACATCGTCTTTGCTGACTCGTTTGTTTGGGTCAAGACGCACGCTTCAGTCTCTGATGTCGTCGGCGTGAAACGTCGCGTCTGGACAGCGACCAACAGTAACTGAAACCGTGTTCTCATTCTTCGTCGCCTTCTCGGCTGCTGCAGCCGCTGCTGCTATCATCGTGTGGCACAATGATATCGCTCCATCTCAGCGCTCAGCGCTGTGGCGACGTGTAAAGCGCTGTGCGACTGTCTGTCTGTCGGTCGGTCGGTCGGTGCGCGCGTGTCATTGTGTGAAAACATCGCTCAAATGTCGGCGCGATTCTCACCATCCACGACGGCCACCGTCTACAACCATTACGAGTACCGATACTAACTGTTACGTTATCTACCCAAACTATCAGACAGAGCGTTTCCGAGGCTGTCGTGTAGCGGAACAGTTAGCAACTGGTTAACTACTAGGAACTAGCTAGCACTAGTTAGCGGTAATACGCCGACGCCGCGTCCCTACGGCGGGCAGTACCTTTGCAGCGAGATCTGCAACGAAAAAGGCTGAGTCGTTCTCATTTTTCGTTAATGACAGTTCGCATTGGTCACCCTTATGGTGTTTAAAGATGACTTCGTTATCGTCGTCGTCATATTTCTTATGTACGTCGACAATGTCTTGTTGATGCTGCTGCTGCGGCCACTCTCGTTCTATTGTCACTTCTCCCTCGTCCCTACGGTATCGGTATGATCGCGGAAGCCACATAGCCTACGAAACACGCTAATACTTGTAGCTATACGTTCACCAGCTAGAACGGTAGAAGGCGTACTTGCCACTGGAAGGTCCGTTCGTCCGTGCACTTAGCTTTATTCGACAGTGGTCGCGCTATACTAGCAGCACTCTACGCTTCTCCCCTATGCTTCCGCGGTGATGGTACGCCGTGCGTGCGTGCGTGCGTGTCCTGATGACGGTAGCAGTGATTTTTAGCCAGTCGCTGCTTCATACTATGGCTCTCTTCTCTCCTGCGGCGATTATTTAAAGGATGACGACGTTTCGCTATTCAGCTAAAGCAGCCGGCCGCTGAGTGAGCGAGTGTTTGAGCCAGTCTGGCGGCGGCTGTTGGCTATCGAGAGCAACAGAGAGTTACGCTAATCCTGTTGTGGATGATGTTGCTGCCGCCGCCGCCGCCGCCGCCGCCGCTTATGCGAGATAAGCAGACACGGAGGGAGTCCGTCAGAGACAGACAGAAAACAGAGTCACACACCAATGTGCGATGGCGGCCGCAGCAAGAGTGGGGTGGCAGAGAACCACTAACACTACTAACCGGCGACCTGCCTCATGATGCCAATAATAATGATGATGATGGCGGTGGTGTTGATGATGAGAATGATAATAATGGTGCGATGATCATAGTGATAAGAGTGGCGGTTCTGTGCGTGAGTGACTATTCAGTTGGCGCCTGTTTCTATTACTGCTGCCGCCTCTGCTGCCACAGTCAACAGCAGCTTCAGAGAGGTCAGGCAGTGAGCAACAATCGTCGTGGGAATTGTCAAATAGGTAGTATGCAATTCAAGGTAGAGGACCGGTGTTGAACAAATCATAACACAACCAAACTTAGCGTAGTACAAATACAGCAAGAAAAGAATAACCGCCAAGCTGGAAGCACAGATGCATGCGTTGGCTTCAGTTCATCATCATCATCCTGTTTTATGAATTGATTTGTGTCAAGCGCGAAATGGTCTACGATGCGTGATTGGTGATACTTGTAAATGGGCTAGCGTCACATCGAACTCAAGGCAGATGTTGAGGAGAGATACGCTTGATAAAACAAGTGTCGCTAACGTGTACGCACACCTTTCAGCCATATGTGACGCAACTGGCCAATATATAGAGGGTCATAATCGCCGTTGTTGGCAGAGTTATCAGAGCCACTAGACCGTACCTAATTCTTCTTAAACGAATTTTTAAACGTTAAAAGTTTTAATTGCAAGCCTGTACCTTGCTTTTTTGCTAATGCACTGCAGAAGCTCGAAAATCTACTCCTGAACATCGTCTTTTGAATTACACTGATTTTATTAGGCTATCCAGCGACATAAAACTATTTGAAATGTGACTGGATAGAATAGAGAATATCGGCTGCTGAGGAACGGGCAACAGCAGCTGATTAACCAGTCACGTAGAGCGACTCTGTGCTTCTGTTACGCTCACCTCTGGCCCCTCGGCGTTCTTTGGATAATCTACAGCTGATGCTTCGAAGGCGGCGCTGCAAAAACGACTCTCAGCTATCGGTCCCAGAGCAGAACTTCAGAGTAGCTGTCGACAAGAGTCTGGTCAAGCAAGCTACTATATTCGGAAACCGCAAGAATTCTGCTACTATTTTCCTTAACTGTCAACTTGTTTCACGTCGTTGTGCATTAATTTTGATCGGAGCGGTAAGAAAATGACACAATGGCGGCAGAGAAGAGTGCACGTAGTAAAAATAGACTATGCCTTGAGCTTGGCGATGATACTGGGACAAAGGAACTTAAAGTAACTTTGCAAATTGTGTGTAATCTGTGTAATCATTTCTGCTTTTGCTGATTTTCAGTTTACAAAATACGGCAGATCTATTTGTTCATTAATCAGATATTCTTGTACTTGCTACATGTATCTATTATATATCAACATGAGTGGTTTCAACGTTCACTATGAGTGACTCGTGCAGATGTTTATTTATATTTATAGACAATGGTGCATTATTTATTCGACTCGACGGTTGAAGTTCCATTAGTGGAGCTTGTTGTTTGTTTTCAGTCTAACCAAGTGTATCATTTATGTTACGCGCCATGCAGTATGTACTCCTAATAATCTTTGTCCCTGTCTGTTTTTCTAGGTAACGACTTGGCAACAGAATGGCCATGGAGTCTGCTGGCGATACCATGGAGATCGACGAGCTGACCTGCACAGAGACCGCAGTGGACGTGCAGTCCGTTGATGGTGGAATTTCGTGCGAAGAAGATCACGTCTCTGCGGGCGCCGCGGGAGGACCCGGCACGAGCAACGGTCATTCTCAGCATCTTCATAGCTGCCGACAAAATCACCTGAATCCTCAAAATGGACAACAGCAGCAGCAACAAACTCTACGTCAAAAGTTCTTACAGCGGGACGGTACAAGTCAGCTTCGCCTACATAACGAAAACAATGTTGCAGTAGTAATTGATAATAACGGCCATATTGTTAACAGACATCACGATGGAGAAGTAGTTAATGGAGAGACGATGGTTCAGGGCCCCAAATGGAAGGAAACTGATGATGGACATGAGATGCGCGGAGAAGGTTCAATCGAGGAGGAGGGCGATGACGTTGAAGAGGTGAGCGATATAGGCTAAGTCCTATCAAAAAAGAAAGACAGATTTTGTGGTACACAACTAACATCAAGCCAAACCATTTTTTTTTTTTTTTTATAGGACCTTCACTTGAAAACAGACTTTTACTGTTGGGAACTAAATTCTTTGCAGAAGGTGTCGAAGGACGAGTATGTTGGATCTTCACCTACGTGCCTAAACAGAAAAAAAAACCCTCAAGTTAGATTTCATTATCTGAAAGTTACTGTTGTTTTAACTTCGAGCTCACCGTCCTGTCTATTTGCACTATTCGCAGAGCATTCGGGGCGGTAATGCAACAGCCTCTTCGACAAACGGGACCAATGGGCAAAAGGATCAGGCTGAGCCTCCTCACCTCCCGGGAGAATACCAATTCCAGTTACTGCCAATACATGTACAGCAACGAGGAGATGCTCGTACTGGAGTATTCAAAGTAAGACATCTAATCGTATGCTCACTATTACCTAAGAAAATAGCAATTGTTTTTTTATAACTGGGAAAGTTGTCGATATTATGTGCTGTCAAAAAACCATCTCCCACTGAGCATGGCTTTCAATTATTACGATAATTATTACCATTATTATTATCATGCGTGTGCGAGAAACAGAAATGCCAACTACCTTTATTTTTATTCCGTCAGGTATTTAAGTGCGATATATGTGCTATGGTTTACCGGCACGTCTTCTCATTGAAACGGCACTTCCTTCGCTGTCACATTAACTACAAGTACTTGACAGCGACGGATATCACCAATTGTGGTATCCATCTACAAGTAATTCAAGCAGCGCAAAGTAGTACTATGCGCAATGGAGATCATCTGTACAGGTTCGTGCATTTCCTCATTTATGAAGATTAATCTCGTGGACTAGATATTTTAAAACTTTAAAACTCACTAAAAGATATTTTAAAAATGCAAACCACTTTGTTCTAGTAGAAAACATTCAAAGTAGCGTAATTACAGGATGCATGAACCGGTTCAACACATGGTGACAGTTTGCTCAAAGCCTGCCAGCTACACCGAATGAGTGCCTAGAACCTCTATAACACTTCGAGGTCTTCGGACGCTGCGGTTTTTTTCCTACGTACGCATACACACAAGTATGCATATAGACATACAATACTTTACAACTTTTGTCTTTTGTCGCCTATTGTTGGTCTGTTCCGATTTTAGATGTCACGTTTGCAATAACCTCTTCGCACAACGAGAACAGCTGCGTCAGCACATGGAGACCCACACGACAGGCAAAGAAAAGCGGGCGGCAAATGGAGTGGCCTGCAGCAAGTGCAGTAGTGCCTTTACAGATCGGAAGAGTTTGTTGCGCCATCAGCAAACGGCTCACGGTCTTACTAGTGGGGCGACGAACGGCGCGAGCAATGCTTCATCAAGCAATGGCCGGACAGGCCACAGCTCAACAACTCAAGTCACGGGAACGCCGATGGGCACTTCGTCCGTCGCAAATAAGAAGTCTCTGTCGTGTCGCCATTGCGGCAAGATTTTTATCGGCAGTCAGGAAGCGCGAACACATGAGCGCCTCCACGAGGCTGTCGATACCACCTGTCGTGTATGTAATCGCAAATTTTCATCGAATGAGTGGGTTATACATAAAACAAGCACCCACCCAGATTCTAATCATATCTGCTCGTACTGCGACATACTTCTGCCAGATGTTGGCGCGTTGGGACAGCATCTGTTCCAAGCACACAATAAAACTTATTCGGAGAACATGCGTCTGATAAATGATAAGGAAAATGGAAACTGCTCATTACAGCTCACACAGACAGCTGGAGCTAGTGGAGGTGTTGGTGGAGGTAATAGCGCCATCAGTGGCGGGGTTCATGTGAAAAGCGAGCCCGGTACCAGTGGGGTAGCGTTAGAGAGTAGACCAGATCGCCCTATCGATACGACAGTCAGCTGTGAACAATGCAACAAGAGTTTTACGTCGCTGGTAAACCTGCAAAGGCACAATACCGTTGTGCACATCAAGCAGCTCGATAAACGCTCACCACAAGAGCAAAAATCTCGAGCTGTAAGCAGTAGCAACAGTAGCAATAATCAGCGCTCACCATCCGAGGAAGAATTCTATCGCACCCTTGGTCACCGAATTTCGGAAAATTTGCAGTACCATATCGACGGCCGTTTGCCAGGCTCAAGCCAAGCTTCGGCATTCGAGCCTGAACGGGTCGAAGCAAATAACTGCATGCCATGGCTTGTGAACAATTTCCCACCGACATTGGATATCACCCATATTGTACAAATCTATGCAAATCGGCCGGCGCTCTCATCAACAAACGCTGCGTTGACGGCACACCCAATCTCTGCTGGTTTAGTAGCTCCGGAGTCGGCAGCGCCTCCCGGAGAGGAACAAATCGCTTTAGGTGCTTGTCTTGGTCTTAACCCTGTTGTCAAGAAAGAAATCAAACGAGAATCGCTAACGCTGTTTATATGCCAGGTATGCAGTTGTACGGCAACCTCGCTCAGAGAGATCACAGAACACAAGATGACCAATCATCCGAACGTAGTCGCAACACACTTGGAGCTGGAAGGCCACTCCTCAGCACCTCCCGAACTTCTTATGCAGTTTGGAGCAAATATGCGACCGTCTGGTATTTTAGGGCAATCTACGACACCGGCTGTCGTTCGGAGTACGTCAGGGATACATAAGTGTACTAAGTGCTCTCGCATGTTCGGAAGGACATCCGATCTGCATAGTCACATCGTGCAATGCGGCCAAGCGCAAGGTGTGACTAGTCTCGGTATCCAAAGACCATCTTCACCTCGTCAGATTAAACAGCGCAAATTTGGCCCCGTGCTTAACACAAAGCGTTGTGATGACGGAAGCTCAACAATGGGAGGACCACTCAACGGAACCGATTATGGTAAGCAACATTTAATCTACCCGTAGTTAGGTTGTATTGGCAAGGGTCTTCAGTCCAAGCGCAGTTTACAGCAAAATAATGGTAAATTTTGGAGGGAATATGAGGTACTGTATTTAAGTTGCTACAAGGTTGCACCTAAATCGTGGAGTATAAGTTTATACCGCCTCTAAGTATTTGCTATATGTTGAACAACTGATCAGACGAGATGGACTTTTAAAAAGACTTTTGCATATATTATTTTTCGTGATATTACATGATTATTCTCTTCACACAGGCAAAGAGGACCCAAGACGCAAGCGTAAACCTGAAGATCGACCCCAGAGACGCTCCGCTCGCTCAACATACAATGGAGGTTCTTCAGAGTGTAGCACTTGCGGACAGAGCTTTCCGTCTCAGGCGTCGTTACGTAAGCATATGCTTGATGAGTGTCGCGAGGAGCAGAGTTACCGTCGAAGGAAAAAGAAAGACAAAGATTCGCCTACGGCCACCCCAACTCCAGAATTGATTAAGGTACCAGCCACTGGAGGTGTTGATGGCTGGGGTGAGGACTACCTTGACGGAAAAGGTCCAGAGCAGCTGCAATGTAGAGATTGCTCAGGTGGGTTAAAATCTGTCTTTCGCAAATGCCTTCACAATTACCGATTCGTACAGATTGTGTTGAAAAGTCAAATGTATATCCACAGTGACTAGTGGCAACCAGTCAAACTATCTCAGAAAGCTGCTGACGAAATTTTTTCAGAATAACTCGTTTGTTTTCCATTCACAGCCACATTCCCGTCCCTACAAGTGTACAAACGGCACCTATCACAATGTCCTTGTTCAGCGGCGTCCCGGCAAAAAACCCTGCTGCTTCTGCGAACAGCTGAAAGCTCAGACGTGACAACAACTGGAAGCGGTGTGTCCCCGCTGGATGGCACTACAAGGGTGGCTGGAACTGGCGGTGGTATGAGCTCGATGAATCGAAGCCAATTTGAAGAAATGACAATGCTGGGGCTAGCGAGACGTGCGGAAAGGGATCGTCAAAGGGATGGAGCAACCGATCGAGACCGTGATGAAAACGGCGATGTATACGAAGATGAGGAGGATACCAAGGTCTACCGGTGGGTAACTTTGCGTAATTTAGCTCATAGCCACGTTAATTCTGCTTAATCGTTAACAAATTTCGTTTCGGCTACCAAAAGTAGCCTGTGTAGGGAGACCAATGTTCTCTGCTGGTCATAGGGTTGGCCTTTTTTTTGAATGGAGCCAAATCTACCTGTTGGCTCTTCAAGCTATAACCTCATATCCGTAAGGTGTACACGAAAAAAACTTTTGCCTCTGTGTCTATTGTACTATAGAGTGGTACCATAAACTGTAATTAAAACTACAACACCAGCAAGAAAATATAGTCTAAATGATTTCTAGTAAGATGCATTATAATATACTATTATTTGTTTTGCAGATGCGAAACATGTCAGATGGGTTTTGGTGATTACGTTAAAATGCTGCATCATTCTATGCATGAACATGGCGCGCCGATTCCCGAGGTGTCAGATATGCGAGAGGCCAGGGAGTTGGCCGGTTCACGAGCAACACACCAAAATGGATTACAGCGCAATGGACATGCACTACAGACTGCATCAAATTATTCCAATAACGGGGCAAGTCGAAAGGACTACCACAGGCTCAACGAAATGCATGAAGAACAGGTCCAAGATCACAAAAACGGTATGTAATAGAAAAGCTGATGCTGTGTTGGCAGCAAATAAGGAACAGTTATTCTGTACTCGTTCTTAAAAGATCAAATTATAAGGTTCAGATGGTTGATGCTTTTCTAAACAGCCTTTCATACACAAAGAAGCATAGCGAAATCTTAACTGCTCTTTTGAGCTAGCCAATTAACGTAATTATCGTTCAATGTCGATGTACCGTGCTATTGTTGCACTATTTTTAGAAACCGAGTACCAGAATCAGCCCCCTCAATTGTCAATATACGACTCCGAAGACCTTCGAGACAAGGAACGAATCGCAATCGAAGCTTTATCGGCTATTTGTGGGGCCGGATCATTCTTCGGTGGTTTCAGTCGGAGCAACAACAACAATAACAACAATGATGACTCTAACAAGTTTCCGAATCGGCACCCCCAACCCCTCATGGATCACCGTTACTGAACGATGCAAATCGCTATCGGTTGTGTGGCTGACCTCACCGAATGAATTCGTTATGTCATGTGAAATACAGGATGAGCATGCCGCCAACAAACATTTACCGATTTCATTTGGACTGCCCTATGGTGCCACCCCTTACCATGTGGAACTGCGTTTCTTAAAGAACGATCGTCATTTGTATATTTTTTTCTTGTGAGATGATCGTCGCTTAGAGATCACAGTCCATTTCTCGCCCTTAGTGATCTCTGCGCCACATAAATAAACCTTCGACCTTGCTCTACGAGCCCGCGCGCCCAGCCTGTATAAATTCTACCTGAATATTTAAAATATTCACATATCTTCGGAGCTACCAAGAATAGGCATCACCGTTAACTAATTGTCGTAAATTACAGAAATCAACATGTTATGCGCCATGCCATAGAATACGTGACGTATTGACGGAGCTTGTCATCATACTTGAATATTTATCCCCTAAAGAAGGTGTATCTGTTTACCTCTGGATACGATGGTCTGAGAGGAATAGCAAAATAGGAAAAATAGAGTATAACCTCTGAAAAAGTCTGTTGGCCGCGTAGGACTGAATGGTAATCATTCCTTACTTCAAACCAGAGGAGTTTTGTAATTATAGGGTTGTTATTACTACTATTAACTATTATTTTCCTTGTTCTTATTATTGGTTTGAACCGTTTCGAGGGCATTTTTTGTGACGGAAATACACAACGCCGCAGCGATTGGTGTCGTGCAAGCTCAAGTAAATCTAGCAGGGGTCAACATCGACGATACGGGACGACATGTAGAATGTCCAAGCGTTGCTGTTGTTCTTGTATGATATCATTATATACTATTCTCGTTATTATAAATGTACGATTATTGTGATGACTAATATAAATGGTGTTGGTGCTGAAAATCTCGGTGAACGGGCGAATAGCACAAAACCACGTCGCAGAAAAAAAGTGATACTTTTCCTGTCGGCTGTAGATTTAACTGCCCTTAGCCTCATTGAGAAAAAGGGCTAGGTACGACTCCAGGAAAGAGCGCAACGATCGTTAGTATCAGCATTCATCTTCTTACTAAGACAAGTAAATAATTTAACTTTGTTAATGGTGCCAAAGGTCTGTTGACCTTTTGCGATCAAGCCGGCAAACGCACGATTTGCGTGCACGATCCCGATCTCTTGCCATTTCTAAAACGAGAGTTCCTGGGAGCCAGACAGTTCTCGAGTTCTCAAGATTCGAATATCGGATACAAAGAAGAAAAGTAAGAAGACGAGTTAAGAAGAGACAGCGATGCAAGAGGGATGCGTTAAGAGTCCATTAACAAACTATAACAAGAGTACCAATTTCATTCGCTCCCTTTCGTTCTCACAATCTCAAA